GGAAAGCACTGGATACTGTCAATCCGCCTTTACTTTTCTCATAATACACACAATAATTACGGTGTACATTTTGGTTTGTAAGATCTAAGTAAAGCTGAAAATTTAGTTAAGTTCTTGCACTTTATTTGTAGGGTAGCATGGGCTGGGGACAAAAAATGTATCCCCCAATTATATCCACTGACAAGAGATAAAATTATCTTGTCCTTATGCCAAAGCACGGCAACGGGGAAAAGTATATCCCCGTTTGACATAACGAGTAGACATATATCCCCCGTCCGTAGCATGGAGCCAAATGAAAGAAAAAAATTATGCTTTTTTGATATTTGAAAGGGATAACTTATCCTAGTTCATTGGACGTGGGTTTAAGTTTATATTCATACAAAAATCTATCTAAATATAAGTCTATCTCCCATTTTATCTACTGTGGATATGGAAGATTATATCCACCGGTGTGCCCATGCTAGAAGGGTGGATAAAACTAAGTGAGGAGATAAACATTTTCTCGTTTCCCCGGGGATAAAATTGTCTCCTAGCTAGCCCTACTGTTGCTACGGACCATAGGCACCTACATTTATCTTCAATTAAGAATCAAAATTTCCAGTATTAAGGTTCTCCGTTTCTTTACCCTCGCCATACAAAACACAGCACAGCGTGAGGCAACTAGATCGTATTAAGTGTTCTTATTTCAAATTATTATTTTAACACGAGCACATGAGTAACCGTACAGAGGCAAAGCTTCATACAACCGAACGCTATGATAATTTAACTACTACAAGCTTGAGGCGCGTGTGTGCGTGAGTACTGGCTGCTCGTCACGTACAGAGAGAAACTGCTTTAAAGCGGCTCGGCCACTCGGCCAGTGCTCAAACTCAGGGTTATGTAAAGAATAATAAGTGTAAAATTTTTTTAAAGAATTATTCCTGTTAGATTAAATATTAAAAAGTGTTATTATGGTTTACTGCACTGTTTGTATGAAATCTAATAGCACAAATAAAAATATTTTTCTTTAATTATCCCAAAGACTAGGTAAGTAGTAACTTGACTATAATTTATTATTTTAATGTGATAGATAGATAACTCACCTATAAGTGAGTTACCAACCTATAAGCGATTGAATAGTTATTTTTATAATGTTTATATACGTAGGTTCATGTTTTTTTTATTATTGTTATTTCAGACGGCACAAGTGGTTAAAAGCTGTCGGACGAGAAAATATTTTTTCAAAACTTTTTGAGGATAAAAAATGCAACAATATAGACTGAAATCATGTATTAAATTTTCTAAAAAAAAAAAACTTGTAAAATAGTTATTTGGAAATGCTCTTGCAAAACTCAACTTGCTGACAAATTTAAACAAACAACTTTAATTGACAAATTTAATTAAAACAAAACTTGTTTGAGTTCCATTGTCCATCTCATATTGGTGAGAATGTATCTGAAATGAATTTTGGGAATATTCTGATCTCGAAAGAATAATTGTAAATATTGATAATGAAATATTCAGGTACAAGTTTCTATTGCACGCCTCACAACGTGAGGGAGTGCTTTACTCTTGATATGTGGCCATACCTCAATTTCGCTACATAAAATCGGTCTTATACTTTTAGCTAGACATCAAATCCATATTATTATTAACGTCATAATAACTACAGACATTGAGTTATAAGATTAGTTTATTTTCTAATTGATTCATTTTAGATTACATAACAAAAATGTTATTGACAAAATATATGAACTGCCGTCCTTTGGTCTATGCGTTGGTGAATCTCCTCGCTTAATAGAAATGTTAGCAATAGATTGAGATATATAGTATTAAACAAGATCCCATACATTCTAAGGAGGATCCCTATTGATTTTAGTCATTGAACTCAACTCCTTTTAAAAGTTATTAATGAAAGCCGATCACAATCTCTGTTTTTTTTTTCTGTAAAAATTATCGTCACTATTTTTATTTTTTTCATCAAAATTATATGAAACGCTCATGAGACGTGCACTTTTGGGTTTTCGAAACTACATTTGTTATGTCATGCGAGTGCTTTCTGATAGATTATTAAAAAAATTACATTGGATATATAATTTACCATTTAATTAAAAGGCGCAATAAATTGTTAAAGAACAAAAATTACAAAATAAAATATTTAGAATAAATAATTTATAAAAATATTCTATCTAGCAAAAGGTGATACATCTTTTGTTTATTTAATTTTATCCTCTTGTGCCAACCCTACCAAAATAGGTAAAAATTTTGACAGTTCCTTAAAAGCTTCTGTACGGTTTCTTTACTCATGTGACACGAGTAAGCTCTTAAAATATATACGAATAAAAAATATGTGAGATTTAAGGACGAGAAATTGTCGAGGCGTTGTCGCTGATCTCTTTAGATTTTTACGATTGACGGCTTTAAGGAAAAGGATCAATATAACACACGTGGAATTGAGTTCCTTAGTACGAATATCACAAAAAGCGTCACGTTTTCGTATAAAAATTTATTTTATCATCGGCGTGATAAAATAAAATTTTAGGCGCTAGTAGAACATACCGACGCGCTTTGCGCTTAAGGCATACAATAATAATACCAGAATTTAGATGTACTCGTATAATATAGTAATTCTGTTTGCAACTTCATTCGTTTAAGAGAATGGTGTCTGATCATTACCTTGCTTCTTCCAGCAGCTAACTTTCATATTTAAATGTTTCTGCTATATGGCTTGATAATATAAATTATTTAAGTTAATTTTGTATAATATGTTGCTTAAAATGTGTGTAGAATATATTATTTAAGTTACATGTATTATTATAATATTTGTATTATTGTCTTCTAAATTGACTACGCTGCATATTACGTTGTGTATAAGATTTTTTTATTCTGATTGTATTTATACTTCTCTCTTCATTTCTCTATATTGATTGATGTATGTATTCACGTGTTTTTATATTTATATTCACGTATAGATACTCTCATGTTATTATGGCACTCTGTTTAGCTCGTGGTTAACTGGTAGAGAATGCCTAAGGACATTAAGTCCGGCAAATGTACACGTTATGTGCAATAAAGATTTTTAAATAAAATAAAAGTAATTATAATTAAACTAATTAATATTAATATACTAGATTATCACCGTGCAGTGGCGGCATAAGAGAATCCACCATATCATCCCGTGGGTGTCGTAAGAGGCGACCGGGGGAAACAAACTAGAATGGGCAGCAGCGTCTTTCTAATAACGACTAAAATAAAAAATAAAACTGTGGTTGCCAGCCCGCTTGAGAAGCGTGGAAACTATGGCAAACATCCCCCCTATGAGACAATCTATGGGGGAGGCTTATGTTCAGCAGTGGACTTTTATAGGCTGTAATGGATGTATAGATGATAATCTACCAGGAGCACATGACCCACTGAGTGGTGAAATTATTAAATTAACAGTAACATTACAACTATGGTAAATATCCCCCCTTTGAGGCAATCTATGGGGGAGCCTTATGTTCCGCAGTGGACTTTAATAGACTGTAATGGTAACGGTTGTGTTTACAGACATATTCATTCCTATTTTGTCTCAACATAGAACCGGATATCCTGGCGTACCATCTTTGTCCTCAAGGCTGACGACACTTACGCATTATAGTTTTTGATCGCAGATCAAAGATCTGCGAGGTGCTAGGACCCTTTTTCTACCAAGGGGTCCGTCTGGGCTACCTTTATTTATGCCACCAAATAGCAGTGCTTGCTGTTCTAGTCTGACAGGTATATAGAGAGATATAAAATGTGGTAGAGCGACGATGCAGCTATATATCATGGTTGTAGCATGAATAGATCGTCTAAAACGGCGTAGGACCACGCTCTCACACAATAGCTCGGTCTCTAGCATAAAATAACAGCTTTATGCTGCTGCGTTTCTTATGGTGGTAACAAGGCATTCCCGTTTCCAGTAAAAAGCCGTTTCTCTAAACTCACCATTTTATATTTCTCTCTATAACTATCTATCTTAGTCCTCAGGGTTAAGAACGCATCTGCATTTTGATTCTTAATCGAGGATAAATGTAGATGTCTATGGGCGACAGTATCCACTTACCATCAGGTGGTCTGAGTGCTCGTTGGTCACCAGTATACTTTATAAAAATCAGTATAATTACAGTATGTAAAGGCATCCTCCTCACGTCCTCAGAAATGACAATGCACCCTGTAGCTTTCTTTGTTTAAAGTTATCTGCAGTAGTTGTCCATGGACTTCACCTGCAGCAGCCGGGTCTCAGGTAGACTGTAAGTTCGTATGTCACATCAGTTTTATATAGAGATAGATGTAGGTGTATTAAAAGCAATTTTTTATTCTACGTCAGCCGATATTATTAGACAAGTGGTACTTTATGAATATAACTTTCGATATAAACTCATTCATACAACTCAAAACGTGGGTGCTACACGTGTAGATCCTCAAACTCTCGATACGATCATAACAAACATCATATGTTTCTCCTGAAGTATTTTGAATAATATCAATATGTTGAAAATCAAATGTTATCAAACTCAGATATGCACGAGATTGAATTTTTATAACAAAAATGTCATCTTAGTCCTCAAAGTGTGATAACGCATTTGCATTTTGATACTTAATCGAGGAAAGATCGAGTAGATATCTATGAGCCACAGTATACATCCACTTAACATTGGGGAAACAATGTTCTAGTTTGTCACCTATTTTTATATTATAAAGAGTGCGATATTACTTTTGATATGTACATATTATCATGCTTTGCGAAAATATTTTTTTAATTACTTGGCTGCTGCAATCAACGCCTCTACGATGCTGGAGAAATTCGCTCATTTTCAATTTTAGTTTCCAGGAATAACCACGTGTTTGTATTTTGATTCTTCATCAAGGATAATTGTCATCAGATGGTCCGTGTGCTCGTGTAATACCTTATAAAGATTAAAACTCGTCGAATTCCTACAATTTATTGCTTTAAGTTTTATAATCCTTGGATTTTTATATCACATTTTTTATTACAGGACAGTTACTCTGAAGTGCCTGAGGTGATGCACCCAGTACAGCACGCCGCTCTTGCGCGAGGTTTAAAAGCTTATCCACTGCCGCTAGAGGGCTCTGATCACGAGCTTCAGTTAAACGTAACCTGGCTGCCTAATACAGGTAATAAATTCACCAAAAACTTTCAATATATTTTTTTATAAAACCGAAGTGACAAACGAACTTACAGTACACCTGATGGTGAGTGGTTACAGCAGTCCATGCACACCTGCAGTCAACATCAAACAGAGAAAGTTACAGATGCGTTGTCACCTCTGAGGACTAAGATAGAATATCTCACAACCTGTAATATCACACAGCATATACAACATGTAACAAAAACCCTGTGGTTCCCGTTAAGTACGTTATCAGGATCAGTATTCAAACCTACAGAAATAACTTTTTTTTTAAAATTCGAACAATATATTTTTTTAATTATATTTAAAAAAATAATTGTATGCAAATTGTATGTGGTTTTATTACCTCTGCATTGTCTGGGGAGTAAGAGGATTGTCAAAGACCCCGCTTTACTTAGCTTTAGCATCGGATAGTGTCAGTAAGAGGTAATAAAACCACATAAAATTAAAAAAAATTAATAAAATTAAAAAAAATATACTCGAGTTTAAAAAAAAGTTATTTCTATAGGTTTGATACTGATCCTGATAACGTACTTAACGGGAACCACAGGGTTTTTGTTACATGTTGTATACTTTTCAAACCGGAAAACAGCAGTACAAGCTCTGCTAGTTTTGGCAACAGAAATAGGTAAGAGGCTGGTACCTACTTACACAGACTCCTAGGAAGATAAGAATCCCACCACTTAGGAATAATAATATTATAACTATTAAAAACCTCCATATACCACACTCGACCCGCCAAATCCACAGCTGTCTAAAGGGATAAGACCAAGATCTTTGTGAATCTTAAAAATAACAACCTATTATTTTAAAGATGAATGTTGATGTGAACAGCAACTTATATTTGACTAGAGAGCAGCGCGCCTGCAATATTTTCTTTCTATGTACTCACACTACCGTACGTGGTAGAGCTACGTTGCAGTTTTTGCTGTTGAACAGTTCGGCCGGCTTGGACCGTAAAAATATACACGTCCTCATATTATACTTGCGTAAAGTATAGGTGTCAATTTCTTCTGTTTAGCCCTGTGACCAAGAGTACGGTACCCCTGCCACTCTAGCCGTGAATTGCTGCAACATCAAGGGGGCTTCACTCAAACCTTAACGGTGTCCACTGCCATCAGGAGAAAGCTAAACCAGCCCTGCTTATTCCTGTACCGTAGTCCTCTATCCGCTCCGGGTGATACCTCTTATCTCTCCTATCCGTACAAATTAGAAAACTCGGGGTTTGTATATATGTCGCAGATTTATGACTAAACCTGGTTTTTGAGCAATAACCTGGGCTTTTGATCAAGAACTTGAAGACGATAAAATTACTACTTTATATTATTATTACGAGCTTGGGGTTCAAGGCAATTAAAAACTGTCGAGTGAATTACCAAAATTGACAATTTAATTACAGAACACCAATTACAACTCAAAAACACACTAATAACAAAACACAATTGTAATACTGATCACTTTAGTTCGCAGTTGTGTCGCTTCGAAGTATTCGCTTGTATCGCCAATTCAATATTAACCGGGTCTCTTTTTTTGCGCCGAGAAGCAATGAAAAGGGCTACCCTCCAGGAAGCGAGGAAGGGAGGTGATGAATGCTCTAAGCATACCACGACAGCCGGCTGCGTGGTTATGTGGGACTCACTGCGAAACCTAAGTGCCTATCTACTAAACACCACCTGTAGAACTGGCATTGGCTTGTGTGGCCTTTCTGCCGAATTGGAAACGACCCCCTTTAGAGAAAATGGGCAACGACCGGGTCGCGGTCGATACCGGCCTTATATAGGGCCTCAGATAATTTACAGAACCTTCTACTGTAGAAACATCCAAATGTTCGAGTACATACCGGTCCCGACTGACTAGGTGTCGATAGTTAGGAGCTGTTGCAAAATCCAGGTTCTCCTCTGCAAATAACCTTTCGCACACCATACCGATATAATAGCCAACAAACAAATTGATCCCGCTATATAAATGACACCAACGTAGGCAATTATTTCTTCTCCTCAACGCCATTTGCAACAAAATACATTTCCATTCCTTCCGTATAAAATTTCCAATTTCCGTTTATTAGGTTGAATGCTCCCAACTTTCCAATTGATGACATATTTTAGGATTAAAGCAATAACACAAATATGTATATATATATATATATATATATATATATATATATATATATATATATATATATATATATATATATATATATATATATATATAATGTATTTTCCTCGTCGCCAGTGAGAAATAAAAGACGTTCGTTTGCAATTCCGTATAATAATGCTCTAGTCTCACATCGAAGCGGCCGCTCCTTGACAATTAACAATTACCTACTTATTCACAACATTACAGTTTAGTTTTATAAGTTAATACAAAAAAGTGGTTGGTCACACTTTTTATAATGGAAGACATTTTTTTTCGTTGTTTTTTCAGAATGGAAATCAAAAATGTTGGCTCAAAATAACAAAGCAGAAGATATAATGTCAGACTTTTAATGTTGAATTTTTTATCTGGTAGAATGATTACTTTGACGCTATATTATGTCATAACCTTTATTAAAGGCCGGAGGCCTTTAATAAAGAAGGGAGGCTTATATTATATATAAGTGTTCATTATGTCCTAGGACCACCAGTATCGGACTATTCGCTGGAGGTGCGTAGCGTCACCAACACCGTAGACTGTATGACGTCATTGTGCTACGAATACAATATTCCAGGGGTAAGTAGTCTAAGGCTCCTTTATAATATAAATATAGAGTAGCTTAGAATAGAATCGAATAGCCGTGTAGCAATTTAAGAGAATCCACTAACCAATGTCATCACGTTTTTGCCGTAAGAGGTGACAGAGGAAAACTGAAACAGGTGATGGGCAGCAGCGACTTCCAGATAAACTCTCAACAATAATAAATTATACTATCGTTGCTAACCTACTTGCCATGTGTGGCAACTATGGCTAACATTACCCTATGAGGTTATCTATGGGGGAGTTCTATGTGTAGCAGTGCGTAGGCACATATGTGAATGAATCATTTTTATTCAATATAGATTGCAAATAATTATAACTTTTAACAAAAAGTAAACACCAACTTTAAATTGCTAAAAACGAAGTTATTTATTTGCTACCCTTAGGGCTTAAATTTTTTCTCCAAATTTATATGGGCCCAGCCGTGAATTAAGTATAATCTATTTAATAAAAAAAGAATCATCAAAATTGGTTCACAAACTGCGAAGATATTGCGTAACATACATACAAAAAAACATACACTCGCATTGAGAACTTCTTCCTTTTTGTAGTCGGTTAATAATACTGATTGAGTCATTTATGTTTGGTTATATATATCTCCTATGACAAAGGCTTTATTCGAACCAGTGGACAACCACTGGTTCGAATAAAGCCTTTGTCATAGAAGGAACCAACAAGAATCCCAACGAGGATATTTAAATAAAGATTTACCTTGTATGCTGTACAATTATATATAAAAACATTTTGAAACAGTCTGGTAGCGATCAACTCATTCTCAGGGGTATTATCAGTCATGTATTCTTAAATATTATAATAACACTTTTTATACTGCTTTTGTTTTACTTATAATTTAAAATTAAAAATATTGTACAACCGACTTCAATATATATTATTAAGGATAACTCAAAAACTATTGGTTAAACCTTGATCAATCTTATATACTTATATACTTGATCAAACTTATATATTCATCTTGATAATCAAATTTATATTTGTATGGGACCACATGAGAAGCATCAGCTTCAAATAAACAAAAGAATCATCGAAATCGGTTCACGTAGAACAAAGTTATTAGGTAACACACATAAAAAGAAACATATAGTCGAATTGAGTACCTCTCCCTTTTAGAAGTCGGTAGAAAAATTAACGTCCTGGTGCCTACAGATCTTCATACGTAAATAAGCAAAGTAAACTTACACACACACACAAACAGTCACGCCTGTCACTCAGAGGGGTAGGCAGACACTACGGACTTTTAACCATTTGGTGCGATCCTGACACACCTTTCTCGCCTCCATTACATCCATATATCTACGCATACACGCTCGTCGGTTAAGGCTACTCCTAATCTGGTCCATTTTTAATGTATCGCCGATTTGGTCGATAAACCTTCGTCTAGGCCGGCCCTTCCCGACCTCACTCTTTCCTCGCTCATTCTTTCTACGTGACCAAACCACCGAAGCATTCCTTTCTTAATCCTTGTCACAACGTCATCTTGCAAACCACACTTTTCTCTTATCACACTATTTCTCAACCTTTCATTCAGATTCAGCCCTAGCATACTCCTTAATGACCGCATTTCTACAGCATTTATTCTACTCTCATTCACTACCATACATTAAAGTAGGGACTAACACAGCATTATGAATTGCCATACGTGTCTTATTTGACACATTCTGACTCCTCATAATAGCGTGTAGAGCCACATTCACTCTATTTCCTGCGTTCACTCGTCGTTCTATATCCTTATCATATGTACCATACCTACTAAATAACATCCCAAATATACAAACTCATCCACATGCTCAATCAACTCCCCTTCTATTCTTATTTCACATAACGTTTTACTTTCTTCTCTTTCAAAAACCATCACTTTCGTCTTACTTGCGTTCACTTTCATACCCCTTTCATTCAATGACCAGTTCGTTAAAGTAACCATCCTTTGCAACTCGGTCGCCGATGATGCAAATATGACTTGATCATCGGCGTACAAAAGGCATTTGACGGTTAGCTGACCCATTCTCAACCCACATTCTTCAACTTTTAATGTTTGCAAACAACTGTCCATAAATAGATTAAACAGCCACGGGTAGGCCACACATCCCTGTCTGACACCTTTATGGATGCCAAACCAGTCCGAGTAGTAGTATTAAACTTCTTTCAATATTACTGATATTACTAAAAAGTGTTTCACTCTACATTGATCCCGGTTTTGAAAGGTATAGGGAGCCAATATAATTATAGAATGTGAGCTGTTCCATCCTAGTCAGTAAACACTATCAGGCGGACTAGAAGTTCGCTGGTTACTGTTAAATCTACTATTTCAGTTATTTTCATAGCATTGAGTCTTATGGGAAGTGCGGCTGATTTAGAAACTGTTTTTATTGATTGCAGAAGAGGGTCATATGAGTTATTTACAACCTAGAGTCGAGAGTCTCTCACAGAAAAAATTAAAGCAATTAATATTGGGCTTCTTAGTTTATATACGAAAAAATATATATGTTCACAAAAACAAAAGTAGCTTTAGTAACAAAAAGTTATGTACACTCTGTAAACACCAGAAACAAACACAAGCTCGTAATGTATACCAAAGTAAAACAGTCCCCGAAAATATACAAGGTCTCTCTATCAACAAGTATATATATATATATATATAATAGGTAATATGTGTTGTTAAATGTTAAAGTTATGTATATATATATACGTCCCACTGCTGGGCATTCTGAGAGCGTTTTAGGCATGAGGTAATCTATGGTTTTAGGGCAAGGAAATGTCCGCCACGCTACCCCAATGCGTGTTGGCGAACTTCACATGTCTTCGAAATATTTTTTTCTTATTTCTCAGACATGCAGATTTCCTCATGATGTTTTCCTACTCTGCCGAGAAATTTAGCACTTAAAATTGCAATTTACAATTTCATTGGTGCCGGCGGGGATCAAACCCGGTTTGCTCGCATACTGTGACATTTACGGCGAGCGCTAACCATCTGAGCTACCACGGCTCTCATATGTGTTTTAAAGGTAATGAAAAGGTAATATAATAAGATTTGACGCATGATTGAGATAAACCCCTGGGAATGATGTGTTGTGTGGTATAAATTCATGGTTGATAATAAAGGTATTGGAATAGAAATCGCTACGAAGATAAGTTTTGTAAGTAGTTTGGTCAACCTGTATTTTATTGTATAATTTTACTTTGACATTTTTCTTCCCAAGAGGGTTTTTCCGAACCAGTGGTTAAAGTTAAAAAAAATTACTTTCAATAGGAATTACTTGTAATCTTTATTGAATAAATATTATTCTTTTCTATTACGTCAATTTTATAAAAAAAAATTTAATTTATAAAAGTTAAAGCCGTTTGTTGCGGGCGTTTCGCACTTTGACGATGCTACCCTTATGCCCAAATACTCAGACGCTACTCACTTTCAAGATGCCGTTAAGTCTCGTGCTGTCTCTATCACTTTAAGTCAAAGTGACTGTGACACCTCGAGACATGAAGACATCTTAAATTCTTAAAATTAAGTAGCGTTTGACTATTCGGTCATTAGGCCGGTCACTTACAACGGAACTCCGTTTCGGGATTCTGTTTCGGAATTCCGATTCGGGATTCAGCATCACACACACACACCTTTATTCCCGTTCGGAATAACAAGAGACGTTAGCCATTGAGTCTAGACATTCTGCCAGCGAATAATGACGACGATTTTCTGATTAGGATTCCATTGTTGCTGTATCATTCTTACTAGGTGCATCCCTTTATCACCCTAAGCATGCAATATAGTCAACATTATGTAAAAAGATCTATCTATCCAGCGATATTTTTTAAATATGGATTTCTGTAAACTCTTTAGACGAATTATTAAATGAAATAAGATAAAAGGTTATGAAAAGCTATACACATATCATGTATATGATTAAATGTAAAAGCATACATAAACACACCTATTCGCTTCGATCGTGCGTCGAACACTGAGCGCGTTCCGTATGGAATTTACGAATGTGTGCTGCAACTCATACCAAATCTGGAAGTCTTACGTTCGGAGCGGCTTTTTTCGTTCGGGATTCCGAACGCACAGGCGATCATACGGAATCTCGAATCGGAGAAAATTCCGTACGGAAAATTACCGTACGTGTACGCGGGTCATAGAATTTATATGTACTTGCTGCGTTCGAAATTCCGAATCGAAATATCCAAACGGAATCCCAAAACGGAATTTCGTATGCATATGGCCGGCCTCAGAGTATTTATAAGCAAGCTATGCTTATTTATACTCTTAAATGCTAGCCATTTCAGGTTCAAATATTTATACGCCTGGAATTAACGAGACAGTTATACTACCATCAATCGTAAGTCTTAAGATCTTTTTGGCACATTCCATAGTCACCTTTTACGACATCCTTACGAACATAATGGCCTTCCAAGCGGTAGAAAAGAGAGAGGTAATATAAATTCAAAAATTTTCAAATTTTTAAGTTATATACAGTCCCATTGACTTAAATTTAGCTGGTGTATTGTTACAAATTTTACTGATATACTGTTATTAACTCCCGGGGGGAAAGTGGTCCGGGAGGAGGAGAGGGGGCTAAAAATTGTTTTTAATCTTAACTTCTACAAAGCTAAAGTTTTAAAGGGATGTCTTTCTGTCACGTAAACATCTATTAAAAGTTTGTTTCCCGAAAGTCGTCTGCAAAGGGCATAAGTACGAGATGTGTCAGACACATAATATAAAATTTATATGTGTAAGTTTGCGAATGACACACTGCCACTGGCAGTTTAAGAGAATTCAAGAAGTAACTGCTGTGAAGTAGCTACTGTGCGGTGGCAGTCTTCCACCGCACAGTAGCTACGTGGCATCGGTCGGTTGTCACTCTAATATAAATAAACCATCAAGACGGTTTTTTATGACAGTGGAAGGTAATAATCTCTCATGATCTAATACCCCTCTGTACTAGGATGTATGAAGAGTTAATTACGAACTTTACGACTTTTTAAAACTTTACGATTTACCGTTACCGTATGCGTGATGTTTTGAATACCGTCCATTGTCATTATAAGACGGCTTGATTGTTTTTTTGTTTAGTGTGACAACCGATGTTACTTAGCTATTGCTGTGTGACAATTCAAGAAGTAATACAACAACAACTGGTTCACTAGCGCCAGCAGATGTCAGTAAAATTGTTAATTGTAATTTAAGCGATGAATCCCGGATCGGACCAAAATTTGTTGCAGTGTACCACCGCCGTGCCTTAAAAAGCATATATAGTTTGTCCTGTGCCTGATCTCTCTCCAATCGTGACGGATTTCCATTCCAAAACAGGGATTAAGCATTTATCACACCAAGACGCTGCGGTTTACCAAGGGCACCAACATTGCCTACTACCTGATACGATTGTGTGTAGTCAAGCAACGGCTTAAAATAAGTTAAAAAACGTTCGCAAAAATATAATAAGTCAATGAACGAAATATACTTTATTGTATACTGAAAAGTAAGAAAAAACAAGTTGTACAACCGCCTTCAATATAAATAAAATACTATTAATACACATTATCATGGATTACTCAAAGACTACTGGTCAGATCTTGATCAAATTTATATGAGACTACATTAGAAGCACCAGCTTTAAAATAAAAAAAATAAAATAAAAAGAATCTCAAAATGCTCTTAAATTAATTGTTTCATATTTATGTAACAAAAAGTTGTCATTAATAGTATAAGCTCTTCCGGGTCGACAGTACAAATGGGCGTGCCTCAAGGCTCAATTCTCGGTTCCTTTCTGTTTCTTGTATATATTAATGACTGTGATGTAAGGTACATAGTAGGGGATAACCATAATATAGTATTATTTGCTGATGACATTTCATCAATTTTCAAATTAAAACGACAATTATTAAAATATGACAAAGTAAGTAATGCTATATCTAAATTAATGTTAATAACTTGCATTTAAACGGCACTAAAACGAAATGTATGAAATTCATGACTCCAAATTTCAAACAATTTAATACTAATGTAATTTTAAATGGGGAGGAAATGAGTCTTATCAACACCACCATTTTTTCTTGGAATAACACTAGACGCGAAGCTTCAATAGAGCCCCCGTATACCAAAATTAGCAAGCAGACTTAGTTCTGTAGCATATGCTGTAAAAAATATTAGAAATCTTACCAGTGTGGAAACAGCCAGAATTGTTTACTTTAACAATTTCCATAGCATAATGTCGTATGGTATTTTACTATGGGGACGCGCGACTGACACTGAAATTATATTTGTTTTGCAGAAGAGGGCCATAAGAGCAATTCATGATTTACAACCTAAAGAGTCGCTCCGAGAAAAATTTAAGGAAATCAATATGTATAACTTTGGCCTCTCAATACATTTATGAAAGTGTAATGTACGTACACAAAAATAAAGGTAGTTATACAAAAATAAGTGATATTCATTCTGTAAATACTAGGAATAGAAACAATGGTCAGTAATTCATTCTTGGGGCGATGTATACGCTTTTACAACAAAATCACAGAAAATATACAAAATTTAACCTGCTCAAAGTTCAGAAACTTTATTATACAAAGTTTGTATAAAAAGGGTAATTATAATATTAAGTAATTTAGGGATGATAATAACCCCTGAGAATGAGGTGATCGCCACCAACCTATTTCTAATTTGTTTTGTGTGGTTAATTGTGATTACATGATTGTAAGCTGTTATTAAAAAAAAAAGTACCGCTAAGTTTCTTGTTGGTTCTTCCCAGGACAGAGGTTTTTTTTCGAACCAGTGGTAATTAAACAAAAGAGGGACTTTCAATAAGTATTATTTATAATATATGTTGATAAACATATTTGCACTATACGCCCAAACTTGCAGAGAAGGTTCAGAATAAGAAGTAATATAGGCGAGTGTGAAAAAAAATTAATAAAAAATCTCAAACATTCTGTACTTTTTATCTTTTAAATTCAGATTGCGTGGTATTAACTATACTGGTTTCTGATGATGTTCATGCTGTTCGCCTTTTAGCTTTTACAGCATTATCGGACTCAGGGTTATCTCACGGCCATCCAAAAAGGGGGTGACGGGCCCCAGCTCTGACGTTAGCCGTAGCTCGTATCGTTCGATGTTCTGGGCGGTGAGAACCGACCAGGGATGCGGGTGTACGGTGTGTACGCGGTGTGGAGGGGTGTGCGGCGCGCCATTCTGCAGACTTGCAGGGTCCCATCCGTTGTTGTCGTAACTGTGTATCAATTACTGGAATGGGGGGTTCGATTAGAACGTTACGGGGCCTCCGGCGACTTTCCGTGACGTTCGGAGTCGGAGCGTATGTGGCTGCCTTTACCACTAGCGGGTTGGGATGTTTCTCGGCTCTCTCAAAATAGCGCCGAGACATTTCCTTGAAATACTCAGAGATTGTCGGAAGTTGACAATCTCTGTGTAACTTGAAGTTTCGCTGGTTCTATACGAATGAATCTATTTTGGACAACTTGGATGTCGTACAAGTATTTATGGGTCGCGTGCGCGAAAGCTACGCTTGCGTAAGACATGATAGGTCTTACGTATGCTTTGTACAGATAAAGCTTGTGTCTTAGGGACAGTTTGCTCTTCCTGCTAACTAGCGGGTGGAGGCGACTAGTGACGATTTTGGCTCGACTACGAACATTGCGAATGTGTTTCGCGAATGTCATACCTTCGTCGAATGTGACTCTTAGATATTTGGCCGTTGGTTACCAGGGGATCTGGCGGCCGTATAAAGTGAGCGTACCTAACGATTTTTTGGAATTTCTGATTTGACGATTGGAAGTGGAGATCCTTTGGAAGTGTATTGTTACACTTTTCTCAGCTTTCACTTCGATTCTCCATAAACGGAACCAATCGCCTAAGCGGTTGACCGCTGTTTGGAGCTTCTCGGTTAGGATTATTTTATTGTGATGGGCGACGAAAAGTGCCGTGTCATCGACGAAAAGACCATATTCACTACTGGGTTTTTCGGGATGTCACTCGTGAAGAGTGTGAAGAGTAGTGTGGAGAGGACGGAGCCTTGTGGGACTCCAGCCTTGATGGGGCGCTTTGTAAAGCTATTCGATAGCGAAAGTAGCGAATGGCAAGAAAGGCTCTGATGATGTGGGTGAGCCTATCTGATACGTTGAGTTTGTACAGCTTGTAAAGCAAGCCGTCATGCCAGACTTTGTGAAACACTTTTGCGATATCGAAGAACATGGCTAACGCGTAGTTGTTGCCTATAAATCACATTTAATTTGGGATAATTTGAGATAAAATTAGAAGCTTTATTGACTCGAATTTTCAAAAACTGCAATAACGGTATATATATATATATATATATATATATATATATATATATATATATATATCTATATATATATATATCATTATTTATATATTAAAACTTTATAAAATTTGGATACTCTTTGATAACTAACTCTATATAATATCTTGCCACGCTTGGCAAGCAGGTTGGCAACCGCAGTTTTTTATTTTTAGTCGTTATTAAGAAGACGCAGCTGCCCTGCATCTGATTTGTTTCCCTTTGCCGCCTCTTAGATACCCACGGAATGATCTGGGGTAGTGGATATTCTTACACCGCCACTACACAGTAAGCTACACGGTAACTACACGTCTGGTACTGGGAACGTCAATTCACCAGCCAAGCGTAGCGCTTGAGGCAAATCCTCCCAACAACAGGAGCAGACCGTGTCTAAAAGTGTACTTTGATGGGCTACTGAAGAAGATGAAGAACACTAAATACATCATAATTTTATGTGTCTTATTTGTTCTAGAGCTCACTGTGGTGGGCAATACCATCTTACCCAAGTCCGGTAGCAGAGAGCTGCGCGGTGAAGCCCGGCTGTGCATACGCCGTTCGGCTAATTTCCCACCCGTGGGACGGACACACCTCAGCCAACCTGAACGTCGAGTTAGATGGTATGTCCGCAAGTGACAAAAACAGCTAGTTAAAGAGCTAGGTGTATGGCTAGGCAAAACTGTTAAGTTTTGTTCGATGATAGTTCGTAATAAGGTTTTCCGATTAACTGTCGACCATACTATATTAATTGCTTAAGTACTATTTTGTATTAGACACCATTCAAAAGTTGGTACGTCATCATCTATTAACGACAACACTTCTTACATGAATAATTCAGTCATATGATGTATTGCGAAACAGACATATATATTTATAGTTATTTGTATGAATTTATTTATTTATTTAATCTTTCATGCATAAAAATGTACATATGGCGGACTTAATGCCATAGGGCATTCTGTCCCAGTCAACCATTAGGCTAAACAGAGATATACAAACAAAAGGCGGTGCAGCAGTAACAGTAATATTTTATATATATTGTCATTCACCATAAGTTGTTGCTATTTCACAAAGGCATTCAAGATTTGTATTGTATTGATTTGTATATTCTGTATTATAGTATAACAAATAGATTCACTAAATCTTTAATCCGTGGTAGAGCTACGCTGCAGTTATATTACAGTCTAAGCACAAATTTTACGTGGTAGAGCCATGCTGCAGCTATATTAGTAGTATAGTTGTAGCACGAATGGGTCGGCTCGACCGGGGGAGGACCACGCTCTCACATAATACCAGCGTAAAATAACAGTTTAATGCTGCTGTGTTTCGTATGGTGAGTGTAGAGAACCGGAGACCCTTTTTACTGGTAGCGAGGCATTCAATCTTAGTCCTCACGGGTGACAACGCATCTGCATTTTCGATTCGTAATCGAGGATAAACGTAGATGTCTATGGGCCCTAGCAACCACTTACCATCAGGTGGACTGTGTGCTCGTTTGTCACCCTTATCCTATAAAAAAAAAAAAAAAAAAATGGCTCAGCTCGACCAGCGATGAACCAAGCTCTCACAGAATTAGTAGTAAAATAGCAGCATAATGATACCGTATTTTGTATGGTGGGTGAAGAAAACCGAAGACCTGTCCTTTACCATCAGGTGAGCCGCATGCACGTTTGCCCCCTCTTCTATAAAAAAATGAGCATCTCTGCCTTTACATAATTCATTTGCTGTATCTCATATTACGGGCGGTTTATTACGCGTACCATATCAATGTTCATGTTCACAATTCAATGAAAGCAGGTGTTGGTTTTATTATTAATGTTTTATATGCATCAAAAGTGTTATCTAAGTTAAGTTATTAAAAGTCTATTTTGCTTGATAAGATGATACTGATATAATCGGACGCAATTTATCCGTACAGTCATTCAAATGTTGTCTCCAATTTAACATTTTGAATATCACCCATTTAAATGTATTATTTCGTTAAAGTAAGAAACGACGTTTTCATTTTATTTTTGTTTTCATATAACAACTTAAACAAATGCCTTGAACACAAGCATTTGTTTAAGTTTGTTTAATTTCTATTGATCAATTATAAATATAGAGAAGAGAATATACCAGACACGATTGACGTCTTCAAAAATAAAACAAAAAAAAATCGTATCACAGTAAATTTCATCGGGGCTTACAATGTTGACTGGCCCTGCGGTTATTAGTTTTACATTATTAATTAACATAAAACACAAAAGTAAATACTTATCTGCTTTCATAATGACCGAATTGGCATACCGATGAAATTGTTAATTAAAGATCTTAAAAATTAATTTGCTTATGTCCCCGTAATAAAATAAATGATGTGTTTTACTTAGTTAGAAGAGCACCTACTTCCGCTCCCTGAATTGCGTGCACTATCCCCGTCACCACCAATCCCACCATCACTACTCCCAACATCACTACACGAGAAAAGATACATCATCGTTGATGATTTATCAAAAATCGAATAAGTTCGTTAAACGTTTACGTTTTAGAATTATTTATCAGCCTATAAAAGTTCACTGCTCCACACAACAACATTATGTTAGGTGCATACAATGTTGTTGATTCTATATGATTTTAGATGAATATGCTTAAATGAGTGCGTGTTCTTACAATAAGTTGAACATGGTTTTGACTTGGATTTTGCGTCACTTGAAATGTACGCAACGCTCCGTCTATTTTTGTGCGTCTAGGATAAGAACATAACTTTATTAAACACATTTGTTGTGTGTGTGTGTGTGTGTGTTTTTTTATGTGCGTGTATGTTTAAGAACTATAGCTATGCTATAGCTATAAAAATGCAATTGCAAATTTATGTATATGTAAGATTTTTTTATATGATAAGGGTGACAAGCGAGCACACAGTCCACCTGATGGTAAGTAGATGCTGTGGCCCATAGACATCTACATCTGTCCTCATTTTCGAATCAAAATGCAGATGCGTTGTCAGCAGTGAGGATTAAGATGGAATGCCTCATTTCCAGTGAAAAAGGTCTCCGGTTCTCTACACTCACCATACGAAACACAGCAGCATTAAGCTGCTATTTTATGCTGGTATTCTGTGAGAGCGTGGCCCTTCCCCGGTCGAGCCGACCCATTCGCGCTACAACTATACTACCAATATAGCTGCAGCATAGCTCTACCACGTTATAAAAGATATTAAATGATGTTCTCTTTCAGAGTGCGTGGCGGGCGTGTGTTCGTGCGCGCACGCTTCGCGCTTGCCGACGCCTCGCGTCTCCGCCCGCGCTGTGTCGGTCCACGGGGAACTCTTTGTGAACGTCACCTGGGACTTGCCCCCGCCTCAGTTTCCGTACAGACTTCCATCTGGGCTTAAGAAACAATATTTTTTTGTCAGGTATAATTTATAAATGTCTAATTAACATGCTTTGATAATTAATTACTAGCAGATTCGACGTAGTTACTCTAATGATATTAAAACAGTGTTATCTATGCTCCCGAATCTTTTAAGTAAGTTTTCTGAATACTAAGTTAATAAGGAGAACCCCATTATCCTGACTATCAGAAATACTAGAAAGATCTCATGGATTTGATCGATTGTTAAATTTATTTCCTATGTATGTTTCATGATATAAAGATTGTATTCGATTGTATACGTCATCATCGTCAGCAACCCGTAAAATACCACAGCTGGACACGGGCTTGTCATGTTGTAGGGAATTATCTCTATTATTTGTATCGATACATAAAACGTATTTGTATGGACACATAAAACGTGTTTGTATGGAAACATAAAACGTATTTGTATGGATACATAAAACACATTTGTATGAACACATTAGACATGCATTATCATTTTATTAGCATCAATACACACACAAAATATACATTTAGAAATAATGAGACATAAAAACATACAAAGTAGTTGATAAACATACATAAAAATAAAATAAATCTCAGCAAGAGTGAGTGATGTGATGCCAAAAGGATTCCGTCTTAGCATATACTACCACAGATACTGCAGCAGCGCTGATTTTCAGCGGAGCCCTGATAAATATTGATTCCGTATTGCGTCCGCGACTATATCGGTAACAACATAAACGAAAAATATTGAATCTACCATTCACTCAAAGTAAATATTTCCAAGTATATACATAAAAGTATTGTATATTATATTAAAATTGAACATACACATATATCTATATCTACATATATATACAACGTGTCCCAAAATTCAACGATAAGCCAACACCGGAGGATAGACCTGCCCCGGACTAATCGGGTAAAAAAAGAAAAAAAAATATATCCCAATTATATTTTAAGTTATATAAAAAAAATGAAATTCTTCAGAAATTGAGACCGTTTATGATATTTTTCACTACCATGACCACAATTTTTTAAATATTTTTTTCTTTTTTTTTTTATAGGCAACCTGAATAGTACTGCTATCTACCACAATTCTTAAAAACTCCAGAATAACTCTTGTTTTATCACGAAAATTAATGAAACTTATTTTATTCCCTAAATTTTTTGAAGACTTTTACTTTTAACCAAATTTAACTTATCGTGGTGTAAAAAAAAAAGTATGAACACTAGTATGGCAAGTTTTTTTAAAAATTGACGCAACTAACCAATATTCCAAAATGGTATAATACTCTAGGAAAACTAGTTATTAAAAAATATGGGCCTATTATTTCTTAACAGGGGCCAAATGACGGTCGGGTGTAATAAAAGTATTATTTCTTGAAAAATGTTTAATATTTCAAAACAAATGGTACAAACAGTTTCACGTGTAATTTATTAAGTTATTAACATTATAGCAAATGTTAGGGAATAAAATAAGTTTCATTAATTTTCGTGATAAAACAAGAGTTATTCTGGAGTTTTTAAGAATTGTGGTAGATAGCAGTACTATTCAAGTTGCCTATAAAAAAAAAAGAAGAAAATATTTAAAAAATTGTGGTCATGGTAGTGAAAAATATCATAAACGGTCTCAATTTCTGAAGAATTTCATTTTTTTTATATAACTTAAAATATAATTGGGATATATTTTTTTTTCTTTTTTTACCCGATTAGTCCGGGGCAGGTCTATCCTCCGGTGTTGGCTTATCGTTGAATTTTGGGACACGTTGTATATATATATATATATATATATATATAAACGCGGCTTATATATATATAAAATCGATGATATGGGGTTGCCAGTATCGGGATAACCGTTCTGATATACCGTACACATATACCGTATTTGTATGCATACATAAAACACATTTGTATGGACACATAAAACGTGTTTGTATGGACACATAAAAAGTATATGTTTGGACACATAAAACGTATTTGTACGGACACATAAAAAGTATATGTTTGGACACATTAAACGTATTTGCATGGACACATAAAAAGTATATGTTTGGACACATAAAACGTATTTGCATGGACACATAAAAAGTATATGTTCGGACACATAAAACGTATTTGTATGGACACATTCAACATGGTTGTATATATACACATATACATAAAACGCATTTGTATGGATACATAAAATGTATTAATAGGGATACTTAAATTGTATATGTATGAGTATTCATACATATACAATTTTAGTATCCCTATTAATACATTTTATGTATTTTGGTGAAACCAGATTATGGATCATTGATGTATATCAAACGCATTTGTATGGATACATAAAACATTACAAATCTTAATGTTTACTAAGTTATGTTAACACCAGCGTTGCCAGACGTCCCACTTTAGGCGGCTGCCTGCCGCTTTTTCTACCGACTTCAAAAAGGAGGAGGTACTTAATTCGACTGTATGTTTTTTTGTGTGTTACCTCATAACTTTTTTCTTCGTTGACGGATTTCGATGATTCTTCTTTTATTTGAAAGCTGATGCTTCTCATGTGGTCCTATATATAACTTAAGCAAGGTCTGACCAATACTTTTTGGAGTTATTCTTAATTATTTATATTGAAGTTGGTTGTACAAATTTTTTTAATTTTAAATTATAATTCGCCTACTAGTGACTTTAAGTTCTTTTAACTAAGATTCGTAATTATGTTTACTAATAAATTAAAAGGTATTTATTATATTTATTATGTCCCGCTTTAATCGAATGAAACCCACTTTTTCTGAAAAGTTCCAACGTCGCGCTTTGCCTAAAAACTCACACAACCATGGGAATAGCACATTTCAGTTTTAGTAGCAAAATAAAAAAAAAACTATTTTGATGAAGATTAAATTATTGATAAAGCCTAAAGCTCTTCGTAAAAATATTCGCCTGAATTTAAAAATAAAACATCTGTTAATAAAACCACGTAAATATAATTTGTGAAGCTGACATCAACGATATGCGTCAGCCTACAATAAATACTCAATCTGTAAACAATTGAACGCGTACTAATTGTACGCATAACTCATTTACGCAACCGACCCACAATGCTATCATAATAGCCACTGAAACGTAATAGCTCAGGGGATAAGCGATAGCTGTAAATTTCACAGTACCCGAGCAAACCGGGTTTGATCCCTGCCGGCACTAACGAAATTGTTAATTAGAATTTTGAGTGCCCATTTACCACGTGAAGGAAAACATCAAGATGCGTTAAAAGAAACCTGTCATCATCATCATCATTACAGCCCTTCACAAGTCCACTGCTGAACATAGGCCTCCCCCAAGGAATGCCACAAAGCACGGTCCTGAGCCACCTGCATCTATCGACTTCCTGCATATCTTACCATGTTGTCACTCCATCTAGTGGGGGGACGCCCTACACTTCGCCTGCCGGTACGAGGCTGCCACTCGAGAACCTTTTTTTCCCCACCGGTTGTCGGTTCTTCGAGCTATATAGCCGGCCCATTGCTACTTCAGTTTACTAATCAGTTGGGCTATGTTGGTCACTCTGGTTCTACTGCGGATATCCTCATTTCTTAGTTTATCACGCAGAGAAACTCCGAGCATAGCCCTCTCCATAGCTCGCTGAGCGACCTTGAGCTTCCTTATCCGGCCAGCAGTGAAGGACCACGTCTCAGTTCCATATGTCATCACTGGCAACACGCACTGGTTGTACAGTCACGTTTTCAAGTTTTGAAGTATACCTGACGAGAAGATGTACCGTAATTTCCCGAACGCTGCCCAACCGAGTTGAATCCGTCTATTGACCTCTCGGTCGAAGTTGGACTTACCTTTTTTTTATGGGGGGAAATCCTCATGGACTACCTCCGCCTGGGGAAAGGCAGAGGGGCGTGCCGGACTCTTACCGGCTAAAACCACCCCGGTGTCTCCTCGCACGTGCGCGCGGGGTCGCAGAAATCCAAATTCTTCCGCAGCCCCACACTAGTGCTGGCCTTGTCTCCTGCACGGGGTAGTGAGTTCAACTACCCCGTGTATCGCCTCAGGGGCGCGTGCCGACACCTGCGCGCGCCTCCGCCTCAAGTCCATCGAATAGGGCTGGCGGGGGCTTCTCCAAGTCCCTCGCCCCTGGACACATTCATGGGGGCCGGAAAAGGACGTCGTACCGCCATTCTCCTGCGCCCGGTGCGCCTTCTGCGGCCGGGGAAGAGAGTCGAGATCTCCCTCTCCCGTTCCGCAGTTTCTTTCTGCGACATCAAGTCCTCGCAGAAGGACACCACCGCGTCCTACGACTCTGCGCTACCGAACATCCTTCGCACTATGGGCGGCAGCGACAGATCGCCTCCTACTTCATTTGTGAGGACACGGCGCTGCTCTTCCCAAGCTTCACACTCGGCGAGCGTGTGTTGCACCTTGTCCTCCCCGCAATGGACGCAGTGGTGGCACCGAGCGTTCGGCTCCCTGTCTATACGGCACAGGTACTTGCCGAAGCAGCCGTGCCCCGACAGCACCTGCGTCACCCTAAACGACAGGGAGCCATGCCTTCTCCCGAGCCAGTCGTCGTGTACTGGCTGGGTTTGATCCCTGCCGGCACTAACAAAATTGTTAATTACATACGGATCGCCTCGATGGTAGCGAGGCCGGCGGTAGGGCGCAGAAGTCATTTCCGCCATTCCGCTACCAAGACCTGACGGAGCTCCTCTCGGCGCAGCGCGATCTGCCGCTGCACCGGCCTCGAGCCTCGTGCCCACTCTTCCTCGCGCCATCTATATAAAGCCGCGAGTACTTTCGCCTCTAGGTTCCCGGGCGGGGATCCGGCCAGGACGCAAGCCGCCTCGTAGGAAATCGTGCGATACTCGCGGACGACTCTGACGGCCATCGCCTTCTGCGGTTTGCGCAGAAAGGCGAGAGTGCTGGCCGTCATGTCCATCGCCCACACAGGGGCCCCATACAGGGCCATGGACCGCACGATTCCCACGTACAACCGCCTACAGGCGGCGCTCGGGCCCCCCAAGTTAGGAAGCAACGTAAAAGCGC